AACTGCTGAAGAGAGACGGTTTCTGGAGAGCAGAGCGTTGGCAGGCCTTGGGGGTGGCTTTTTGGGTTTTTTCCCTTGAAAATGGCCTCTCGGGGACCCAGGTGGCTGGGGTGAGGTCACCTGAATGGAGAAGGGGAGAATCTTTGGCCTGATTTTCTACAGATTCATTCATTCATTCATTCATTCATTCATTCATTCATTCATTCATTCATTCACCCCATTCCATTCCATTCCATTCCATTATTTCATTCTTTATTTATAATATGTCCATGGCCACCCAACTCAAACCCTGTGACGTTGGGTAGCTTACAATCATCCAAAGGGCAAAGAAAAAAATCCCAATATCAATTAAAATCCCGTTCAAAACCCTCATGGGTGACAGGTTTGAGGAATCAATAGTCTCTAGAAACCAAGTCCATGAAGCTCACCGAGGCCTAATTTTGGGGGGCTGTCAGAGCTGTTCCATAAAGCTTTATGATACCAAGCGCATCGTGGCCTCCAGGCGCAAACCGTCTGAATTATATAGTCAGCATCATCTGCACTACGCCAGCCAAACATGGATGATGTCAGGCGGCGCTTCCCCAAATCCTCCTACACCCCTGTTTGAGATCAAAGATCTCCCTCCCTCCATCAGTGGGTATATGGATAAGGAAGCAGATATTCAGAAGGGAAAAATGGTTCTTTGGGGCACATTGTTCCTATCCCCACATTCCTAGGGAGTGGTGAAAAGTGCTGGCGCAGGCACAGAGTGTTGTGAGAAATGGGGAAGCTAGGATGGGAATGACCAGACAGAAACTATCAAGAGGTAGAAGGCAATTCTCTTGGCAGCTTCTCCTCCCGGATGGGAAGAACGTTGGGAGGGAGCACTTAGATCTTTCCAAGAGACTCCCCCTTAATGAAGTCGCTATAAATGAAGGTGGAAAATTAATGCCTCTCGCAGTTTCCAAGAGTCTGCCTTGATCCCAAGAGGAGCATTAGAGACCTTGTGAGAAGTCTTGCTTCCTTGCTTGGAGTGGGGCTGGACAATAGTGCCATCGTTCCTGGGGACACAGACGTGGGGAGGCTTGCAACAGGCTTTGTAGCTGGGCTAACCAACAACCAGCACTGTGTTCCCAGGATCAGTAAAAACACCCTTGTTAGGGGGATTTTGCAGGAAACTAGTGCTGGGGGTTGAAATCTCCATGGTCCACCCATAAGCTGTCACCCACTGCAGGCAAATGGCTGAAGAATTGATCTGCCAAGAGCTGTTAGAAGGATGAGTGGACTGCAGTCTCCATGTTCAGAGGCTGTAGCTTGAAAACTTCGCCAGCTACAAGTGGAGAATCAAAGGGGATGTGAATTGGACTTCACACTTCCTTGGGGTCTTCTGTGAATCATCGTGCATTGCCCCTGATTCAAAAGAGGGGGCTAGAATGGCAACCCACAGAACCTCCATGTTCAAGAACAGTCTGCCTCTGTTGGGGAGTTTTAACTCCTAGGCTTTGCTTATGAATTTCCCAAAAGCATTTGGCTGCCCATCGTGAGAAATCCTACAGCCCTGTTTACTCAACGCTCAGCCAAAAACAAACCACAGGTTAGCCCTTTGAACCAACTCAACTGAGTTTTCTCCAGCAAACAATGGCTAAGCACAGGGCAACCCAGTCGAATTAAGCTAAGCTTTTGGATAGGTCTACCCAAATCAAGGAAAATGCCAAGGAGCGAACAGTGACAGTCTTTCAGTTTGCATGGAGCACCATGGTTGTCCATGGTTGCCCTGGGCATTGGCCGAGGGAGAAGAACAACCCATCACAGTGGGGTTTTGAGAGCCAGTTTGGTGTCCTGGTTAAAGGCACCAGGCTAGAAACCGGGAGAAAAATGTTGAGTTCTAGTCCCGCCTAGCAGAAAGCCAGCTGGGTGACCTTGGGCCAGTCACTTTCTCTCAGCTCTAGGAAGGAGGCAAGGGCAAATCACTTCTGAAAACACTTGCCAAGAAAACTGCAGGAACTTGTCCGGGCAAGTCACTGAGAATCGGACACAATTGAATGGATTAAAAAAACAAACCCAAATCAAGGAAAATACCAACGAGCGGCAGTTTTCAGTTTGCATGGAGCACTACAAGATTTGTACAGGGCTGTCCTGGGCATTGGCCAAGGGAGAAGATCTAGGTTGGCTAATGCCGAGGGAGGGAGGCCTGGCTCTTCCCTTCTGGGAGGGAGGGAGGGAGGGAGGGAGGGAGACCTTCTGCTCACCCAGCCTCCTCCACGGGCTCATCTTCTGACTCCCCCGAGCTCCAGGTTCACACGGCTTGGGCAGAACACAGGTTACCCGGGCATCTGAAGAACTCCTCAGCCTCAGCGAACAAAGGCGGCTGTTAGTCATAAAAACCATGGCTGCGTAATCCAACACTGGGAACGAGAGGCTGAAATAATGTCTCCCCCAAGCAAGCACAGTCTTTCCAGAAATTCATTCCTCTGTTTTGAGTCTCGGCTGGCTTCCTGACCCATTTGACGGAATACTTGTTTTTTTTAAGAAACGGAAAGAAAATGCCTTTGTTCAGAAAATGTTTGTAGCCCTCCAATGTTCCGGCCGCTGCTCAGAGCTTCCCAGGAGTCTGCTTTGGGTTGTACCGCTTTTTCAATAGCTAGGAATATTTTCATTCTTTGTGATCGTATTCCACTTTTGGAGTGCTAAGCAAAGACATATTTTAAAATGAGACATCATGGTCTTCTTTTTCCATCCTGATTGACTAACTCTTGTCCGGGTCCCTGTTTAACTTCACTCAAACAATAACTCCACCTGCTGGAACCAGCAGAACCAACAGTATAAAGCACTTCAATGCACTCTCCTGATGTTCAGTTAACTCTAGTGCTGCTTGGATTGTGCAGTGAATCCCAAGCCAGGGACAAAAACAACAGATCAACGGGGACATAGATTTCTTATTACAGCTTCTTGGCTTCTTCTTTTCAAAGTGTCATCAAATGTGTCCTCCAGCCTAGTTGAGTGGGGCCATGAAGTCTACCCCCCCCCTGCCTAAAATGTGTTGTTGTTGTTGTTTAGTCGTTAAGTCGTGTCCGACTCTTCGTGACCCCATGAACCAT